AGTGATATTTGGCTCGTTGGATTTGTCTCATCGGGCCGCTTGATTCAACTATAAGCATGACACATTCAATGATCATTTGTTCATCCACTTAATGAATTGAACCTTTGTTTCATACCCTTGATTTGAGCCATTTGGGCTTGGATTGGAGGTTCATCTCTTTGAGATGTTAAATTTGACTATAAGTTTGTTGAATCAGAGCTTGGATGGTTTCAATTTTAATTTATAAAATTTCTAACTTGGATATATCTCAAGATTGGTGCCCGAACAAGACAATTTTCGATGTATCACTTATACTATAGTCAATTATTTTGATAATGTTTACTTGTATTGTTTGAATCTTCTCATGATTATTTTAAAAGTTCCAAATATCTCTATGGTCTAATGATTTGCATTGTTGTTATGGCATGCAAAGGGACTCCCTGATTTAATGTAAGCTACTGATTTGATTACTTTAATATAAGTATGCAAAAGGATTATATGATATCAATGTGACTATTTTTTTTTTTAGATTTTCATTTTTCTAATGATTTTTAAGGCGATAATTCAATATAGCATACAATGATTTGCAATGGAAAGTTAGATGCAAATAATTTTGCGATGACTATTTTGATGTATTAGAAGACAAAGGACAACTCAAATAATACCACATCAGCTGGTATACAAATAGTTCCAATAACAGTTATACACGTGTACTAATGAAACGCAAATGTCTATATATACTAGTGTTATACCTGTAACAGAGGACATGAAATAATATGTTCTCTGTTTTGCCTTATTAAATCTCTTTGTCTTCTTGCTGTTACTGTACCAAAAACTTCTTGATGGTATCAGAGAGAGTTCTTTTCTTAATCTTTTTCCATGGCGAACTCTAATTCTTTTGAGATTGGAAATCTATCTGAAAGCTCAAACGAGAACACTGGTATTCCTGCAACGCTTAAATTTATGGTTTCGAATCTCAGAATGTTGGTGCCGACGCAACTATCGATAGATAATTACTCGATCTGGAGGAGCTAAATTATAAAGCTATTTAGGGCAAATGGCTTTGTAAATTTTCTTGAATCCATCGGTACGCCTCCATAGTTACAAATCTCTCAATCTGATAGCACAATGGTATCCAATCCAGCATATACCAAATGGCACATAACAGATCAAAATCTATTAGCTGCTGTTTGTTCAACGATTTCGCCCTCTGTGCTTCCATATGTCCTTCATCTAGATTCCACGTCGGAAATTTGGAAGACACTCAAAATCATATTTCAATCAACAAATAGATCAAAAGTTATACAACTCAAGAACGAGCTGCATAACGTTTCCATTAAAGCTCTCACCATGACGCAATATCTGACAGAAATCAAGATTCTAGTAGATCAAATTGCTGCGGTGGGTTCCACAATCGACGATGAAGATATCATCATGTATATCCTGAATGGTCTACCAACTCCATATCAGGCGTTCAAGACTGCGATCAGAACAACTCGCACATCGATCAATCTCGACAACTTATATGCCCTTCTCATTAGTGAAGAAAATCACATAAATGTTGAAAATGCCAGAATCTCAATGAATAATGATGCACATATTGCATTATACACATATCGTGGACGGAACAAAAGGAATATCGGTCGTTTTCCACAGAATACCAACTCTAATACGAGAACTCAGTCTCAACCAACTACAATCTGCCAAATATGTAACAAGAAAGGGCATACAACATCGGTTTCTTGGCACAGTCTAAATATCAATTACACGCCATCTTCGTCTACATCAACGACAAACAAAGCTATGGTTGCTGCAGAGCAATGACAGATTGGTATTTGGACTCGGGAGCTTCTTCGCACATGACAAATCTTGCAGATAACCTCTCGCAATTAACGCCTTATAATGGCTCTGACACGGTCACCATTGGAGATGGGAGGACGATTCCAATTGCTCACTCTGGTATTAGGATTCTTCCGACTCCATCTCGTAAGTTTCATTTATCTCGCCTTCTTCATATTCTAAGTATCTCCCACATCCTCATTTCTATTTCAAATCTGGTCAAAGACAACAACATATCCATCACATTTGATCCAACGGGTTTTCTGTTTAAGGACATGAAGACAAATAATATTCTTCTCAAAGGTCACTGTAAGGATGGCCTGTATCCCATCTCATCTAAATCGGCTCAGAAGTCATCTTCAGCATTTCAAGCAATAAAGAATCCTTTAGATATATGGCATAATAGGTTGGGGCATCCTCACCATAGAACTACTCAGCTTATTGCCAATAGTAATCCTCATCTCAATATATCACCATCTTCTTTTAAATGCAAATCTTGTATAATGAGTAAAGCTCACAAATTATCGTTTGAGAAATCATTCAATAGGAAATGTAATCCTCTAGAGCTTATACATTCTGATGTTTGGGGGCCATCCCCAGTATCTTCTAATCAAGGCTTCAAATACTATGTCATATTTGTTGATGACTTCTCATGTTTTACTTGGTTGTTTTCGATTATGAACAAATCCGATGTATTCAAAACTTTCAAAAGCTTTGTAGAAAAACAAACTTCTTACAAAATAAAAAACCATCCGAACGGATGGTGGTCATGAATACATTAATCATCAATTTAGACAATTCATCTCTCAAAATGGCATTCTTCACCAAATTTTTTTCCCGTACACACCGGAACAGAATGGTCAAGCGAAACGCAAGCACAGACACATTTTGGAAACTACCAGGACATTGTTGCAACAAGCATTCATTCCTCACCAATTTTGGCCTGATGCCGCGCTCACTGCCATATACCTTATAAATCGTCTGCCATCAATAACCACAAACAATCTCTCCCCATTTTAGCTCTTTCACAACATTAAACCATTATACTCTCACTTAAGAACATTCGACTGTGAATGTTTTCCGTTAACTCCTCGTCACACACGTCACAAACTTCAACCAAAATCCAACTCCTGTGTATTTCTTGGTTATTCATATAATTACAAGGGATACAAATGTCTGAGCAAAGAATCCATTTTATACACATTTCAAGACATGTTACATTCGTAGAAGACTCTTTTCCATTCAAGGAGTCTTCAGTACAAGAACCAATGTCAACACCTTACACACAACCATCATTTCTCATACCCATTCAAAACTCTCAACGTCCCGTAAACATCTTTCCTCAATCCTCAGATAATCCTTGCTCATCCAATCCTATATATCCGTCTCAAGCACCTGATAGCATCGGGTCTACTAATGATAATCAGATCTCCAACAATCTTTCTCCATATCTGTCAAGCTAGTGTCATCAAATTACAAGGCGTCCAATGCTAACCAGATTTCAAACTGGTTTGCTCAAACCGTGCAAACGGTTAAATCTCCTTCACAAGCAAGGACAGAGTTCTCTTACATCTGAGCCAACCTCATACAACGAAGCTATAAAAAATTTTGAATGGAGACAGACGATGGCTACATAATTTTTAGCAATCCAACAATAGGTATATAGACACTTATTAAACCACCTCAAGATGCTTCAATATTGGGGTGCAAATGAACATTTAGAATCAAATACCACTCGGATGGTACCATAGCCAGATTTAAAGCAAGACTAGTTGCTCAAGGGAATAGGCAGGAACAAGGCATAGACTATACGGAAACATTTAATCTGGTAGCAAAATTACCCACCATAAGAGTGCTTCTCACTGTAGTAGTATTTAATAATTGGGACATTCAGCAACTAGATGTGGCGAATGCATTTTTGCATGGAGATCTCAATGAAACAGTATACATGAGGCAACCTAAAAGTTTTGAATACTCATCTCAAGCAGATCATGTTTGTAGACTACATAAAGCCATCTATGAGCTCAAACATGCGTAAAGACAGTGGTATCACTGGCGGAACCATTGCCCCCCCTAAAAAAAAAATTAATTAGAAGAGGGCCTTTTTTGTAATTTTGCTCCCCCCCTCTAAAATTTTTTTATTTTGCCCTAATCGAACCAGTTCCGTGTCTCTCGCATTCATCCCGATTCGGCGATTCCTGCACAGCCGCTCTGTGCCTCCAGGCTCTAACCCTCTCTTCTCTGGCGAGCCGCGAGCGAGAAATCGCCTTCGACGCCGACGTCTCTTCCTTGTGCCTCCCATCTTCGTTGCTTCTTCTTCCACCTTCGGGCTTTGTCGCTTCTTCGACGCCACTCAAGCCAACGAGCGACGGCCTCTGGACGGTGGACACCGGACGCACAATCAACATTCAACAAGATATTCGATATTCCACCTTTTTTGTCTTCTTGCTCTGAACTCATTAATCATTATAAACTTGCAATGAAGTTTTTCTGCAAGACTTGCCATCAAATTTTAATATTTTACTAAACCTAAAGTGAAGTTTTTCTGCAAGTATTAAAGAGTCTGTTATTTACACTCCAAGGAATCACGATTGAAACCTGTAGAAAAACGTTAGAGCGAAAAGCAGAGAGATATTTTCGTATGTTTTTTCCTTTAGAAAACTGGTTTGGCCAGCAGTTGCAGTTCCGTGAGAATTTTTAAATTATATTATTTTTTTCTTTGATTTGAGAATTTATAAATCAGCTGAGATATGATCATTCTATCTCCATTCATCTTTCTCACAAAATATTAAACAAAGGTTTCGTTAGGAGACCTTGAGAATGGACTTGAGAAGGTATTTTTTAAAAGGTTGCTTTATCCATGTAAGTTTGTTGATGTAGAATCTGTAGATTGAAACCTATAGAAAAACATTAGAGCAAAGAAGAGAAAAGCAGAGAGAATTTGATTTAGGTCTTTTTTTTCTTTGAGTTGTGATTTTAATGTTAGGATGATAAATTGAATTTTTTTTTTTTCGAATTATTGCATATATGTTGTTATGGATTGATTTATTATTGTTGGATTGATTCCTTATATGTTATTTAACTCTTTATATTGAACTTTTTTTTGTTTGATCTTACTAAAAGAGAGTAGACCATGTTAATATAATTTTTCACAGAATATATCAAATCATTTTTTGATTCGAATGGAACGTTATCTAAAGAGGAAAGAACCTTTGGAGACTGATATTAACAGTCTCCCAGCTGATCCAGGAATTCGACATTCAATTTGGTGTTACGATGTAAATGAAAGAGATAAAATTCGGAGAGCATATCTGTTGAAGGGAGCCCATCAACCAAAAAATCATCAATTCCCCCAAACAATATTTGGCAATCTTGTACGTAGATTTAATCCAAAATGGTTTGAGAAATATCCCGATTGGTTAGAATACAGCGTGCATAAAGATGCTGTTTTTTGTTTGTATTGCTACTTGTTCAAACCTCAAGATAAAACTATTACAGGACAAGGTGGGGGAGACTCATTTATTGGAGAAGAGTTCAGAAATTGGAAGAAGAAAGAAAAATTGTTAAGTCATGTTGGAGATCATAATAGTGCACATAATAAGGCTAGACATAAATGTGAAGATCTGATGAAGACAAAAGAACAAAGTCTTCCTATTATATGGTTGAGCAAAGAAGAGAGAAATAGAAAAGATTATAGGGTTATGTTGACTGATGCAGTAGATTGTGTACGATTTCTGTTGCGCCAAGGGTTATCATTCCGTGGTCATGATGAGTCTTCCGGATCAGAGAATCGAGGAAATTATTTGGAGCTGTTTGATTTTCTTAGTAATCATAATGATGAAATAAAGAAAGTTTTTACAGCATATTCAAGCTCAAATTTGAAGTTAACTTCACCAAAGGTCCAGAAAGAAATTTGTTTTGCTGCAGCTGCTAAAACTTTGATATCAATCATGAAAGATATTGGTGACTCCTACTATGCCATTTTGGTAGATGAATCTAGTGATGTTTCTACGAAGGAACAGCTGGCTGTTGCAGTGAGATATGTGGATAGTCTTGGGCAAGTTGTTGAAAGGTTTATAGGCATTAAACATGTGGCATCGACTAATGCTGTTGCCTTAAAAGAAGCCATGGAAGATATACTTGCTAAACACTCATTGAGCATACATAGGATTCGAGGTCAAGGATATGACAGAGCATCTAATATGCATGGGGAGTTTCATGGTTTGAAGGCCTTAATACTTAATGATAATCCTCATGCATTCTATATTCACTGCTTTGCTCATCAGCTTCAACTATGTTTAGTGGTTGTAGCTAAAAATCATTAGCATGTGAAGCATCTTTTTGAGATTACTTCAAGAATTGTTAATACAGTTGGAGCTTCATGTAAGAGGAGTGATGCTCTTAGAGCAATTCAACATGATAAAATAATGTTTCATTTGTCTAAAGGAGAGTTAAACAGTGGTAGAGATTTGAACCAAGAGACAAGCTTACAACGAGCTGGTGACACCCGTTGGGGTTCACATTTTCATACATTAATTACCTTGAAGAAAATGTATGCTTCAGTAATTGAAGTTCTTGAAATTATCAAAGAAGATGGATACATGATCAACAAGCTGTTGAAGCTGGTGTTCTGATAAATGTTATGGAATCTTTTGATTTTATCCTTCACTTATTGATTGATATTTTAGGTGTCACAAATAAATTATCACAGGCCTTGCAAAGAAAATATCAGGATATATTGAATGCAATGAAGTTAGTGCAAATCTCTAAACAACAATTACAGATGATGAGGGATAATGGATAGAATTCCTTATTAGAAGAAGTATCGCATTTTTCTAAAGTTTTTGAAGTTGATGTTCCTGTTATGAGTTCTACATTCAAAGCCCGTCGACGATCTGCACACAGAAATGATGATGCAACAAATTTACATCATTATCGAGTGGAATTCTTTTATACTATCATTGATATGCAACTTCAAGAGCTGAATAATAGATTCTCTGAAGCCAGTACTGAATTGCTTCTTTGTATGTCATGTCTAAATCCAAGTAACTCATTCTCTGCTTATAATAAGGAGAAATTAATTCGGCTTGCAGAACTATATTCAGCTGATTTTTCTATTATTGAACTTGTGGCTTTAGAGCACCAGCTATCGACATACATTCTTGATATGCGTTCAAGCGAGGAGTTCTCATCTTTGGACAACATTGCAGATCTAGCAAAACAAATTGTTAAGGCTAAAAAAGATATCGTGTACCCCTTAGTTCACCGGCTTCTTGTTTTAGCATTAACTTTGCCGTTGCCACCGCTACAATGGAGAGAGCATTTTCAGCAATGAAAATTGTTAAACATAGATTGCGCAGTAAAATGGGTGATGATTGGCTCAATGATTGTCTAGTTCCATATATTGAAAAAGAAGTATTTGATTTGGTTCCAAATGAAGTTGTAATGCAACATTATCAAAAAATGCAAAATAGAATGCAAAGCTTGTAATTTTTATTTCAATTTAATAATTTGTTTGAGTTTTGTTATATATATTCTTTTATAATTTTGCCCCCCCCTAACATTTAAGGCTGGTTCCGCCCCTGCACACATTGCATATTTTTAAATATATTTTTTTAATTAATTTTTAATAGTGTGAATAATTCTAAATTTTTTTGTTAATTAAAATTAATTGTTAATCCATTTAGATTTTTTGTTAATTATAAACTATTAAATATATCTATTTATTTATTATAACGATTTATAATTATAAGTTTATAATATAGATTTATAAAGTTTATAATTGTAAATTTTATCTAAATATAACATATAAATTAACAATAATTTATATTAATTTTCTAAGTTTATATGTGAATTACATTTATTTGAAATATAAATTTATATTTTTACATAATTATTACATAATTATTATTTCATTTATTTGTTATTTGAATTATTTTAATATTTATTACAACATTCGATTCAACCCCAGTAGAACCATTGAGCTTTTGAACCTCTTCTTTTTTCGATTCGATATCTGATCCAATTTTCACAATTTTGGTGGAAAGTGCAATACCTTGAGATGTCGCGGATGTTGGTAGTTACTTTCGTAAGAGGCATGTGCTTGAAGAACTTATCCTATATGGCCTCTATGAGTTCGGCCATAAACAATCTCAACAGAGTGTAGGTGGTATAAGATGGAGGTTAATGGTTGACCTCTTCATGAAATGGATGAGTGTCAGAAGTGAGCTCCACTACTCTCGATGTTAGTAGCACTGCTATCTTAAAGGGCCTCGACTATATGGGCGCCCTCTTATACTAGGATCCTAGTGATCATATGGCGAGTTTAGTTTTTTGTCCCTCCTATCCCTAGGACAAATTCTCACCTTAGGCCGATCCCTTGATGGCAAGTGGTAGGGAAGATTCAGCCATTCGATTGTACTCATCGGCAGTGACATGACTGTTAACAAGCTCAAATAGTTTAGCGAGTGTCCTCGGCTACTGCAAGCCGAGTGCATATCTGAAAGGACCTTCCCTCGTCCTTAAATTAAGGCAGCCTAGGAGACTGCTGGCTCCAAGTCTTTTATATCCAACATTTCTCTATGAAACTTCACAATGAAGCTCATAAAAGACTCTATAGGCTACTGCCTCATTTTCAGCAGAGCTTGCAAGTTCTTCAAGGTCTCTAAACGCTAACGAATTTTGTAATGAACATTTGCTTGAATTCAAAGTAGGAGATGATTATTCCCATAGGAAAGTAAGCAACCTCAATGCCAACTTCTTTAGTGCCATAAAGAAGAGACACTTAAGGGCATAGTCTATATCCACCAAGGAGATCATAGTCTCCAAGGTCACAAGATGGTATGTGGGATCAATCTTGCCTATATATGACTCCAAATGAGCATTTTGAACTTGGGAGACAACTTGGCCTCAGAGATAACCCTAGAAATGGCTTTAGTCAGTTCGGGTTCTTCCTTCCTATCTCGCCTAGTCAGTGAGTTATAATCTTTAACACTCGTCCAAGTGCAGGTGTAGTTAGGGATGGTTATAGAGACGAGTGCTCACTACGAGCATCTTTGGCATGCTACCGAGTCATAGGATCCTTTGGGCGTACAATCAGCTCAAGCTCACCGTGGGAGGCTGCTCAAGGCATCCAAAATTATCTTCAACAATTGCTCCATTTCATGTAGATCACAACGAGTGGTGAATTCACCATTTTCATGTTTACAAAAGGCTCTCGCTAAGGTGCCTCATTAAACAAAGCATGTCTTCTTATCACTCACATCAATCCACACTCATCCCACCTAAGAGTATGTTGAATCCATATTTGTTTAGTGTATAATATTCAACATTACTAGCAAATCTATTTGATGAGTTGAAAGCCAATTGATGAGAATGGACAATAGAGAGTTCAGAGAGAATGAGAGTAAGCTAGTTGAATCTCCACTATCCTAGTTAGAAAATATAAGAAGTGACACTCACGAGTCCCAAAAGATCTAAAGATCCCAACTACTTTTCATCACCATTTATTTTTACGGATTTGAGGACTACAAAAAAGTCATATAGTTAAATGCAAAAATGCATGCTACACAAAATACTTGTGTAAAGTTACATGTTAATCTAGGACATGGGTCATCTCCTGATTGGTTGCAAGAGGACGAAATCAACGGTCTAGTGAGTTGTTTGTCATTGAGCAAGCTCAATAGAGCTGAGTAGATGTAAGGTTAGTTTGTGAACGAGACTCGAGAGGAGATGGACCCGTAGCAAGCAAATTGTCTTATTAGGCCGACGACTGACGTAGGAGGCTCGAGGTCGCCTAATCATGAAAGGCGAGAAAAGGTGTTTGCGAGGGTCAATAGTCCCTGGGCCAGATAGTAGCAGACAAATGGAGTGTGAAGTCCCTATGGTAAGCGCTTTCCTGTAACTAAGTCTGATGAGTTCAAAGGGAGAAGATCTAACTGAGATGAGAGTCGATCTATTTTCTTGGTGAGGAACTTCCTCGTAACCCAGCGTAGAGTGAACTCCATGGCAAATGTCGGCGAGTGATGCTCTTCATTCTCCTTTGGCAAATTTCTTCACTAGGATTAAGTGAGTCCTTTGTGGGATCTGCTCCTAAAAAAGAATACCCTTGTCATGACTTGATCACTACCTATTAAAACACCTGAGAAGGGAATTATGAATATACAATATCTTATAATACTTTAATTGTAGCTTAGTATTAGCACCCATTACTTCTATTCTCATATATAGCATGCTTTACTCCCAAACAGGATGAGAGTGAAGATTAGATATGAAAAACGATGTGTCTAAGTAGATGTTAGGGGTTAATTAAAAACCAACACATAAACTGGTGGTTTGTTCACTTGGTTTCTTTTGGATAAAGATTAATTTTACCACATCATGTATGACCAATTTCATATCCAGACCTTTTAGGAAAAAGGGTTTAGTTTAGTAGACATCATCATAAAAAATAAGAGAAAATCTAATACATCTTTCTTAAGCTATAATATAAGAGCTTAAAGTTTTAGGCGACAGATTATATTGAGTGATTCTAGTAGTTGCTTATCACAAGAAAAGTATTTTTAGGAACCACAAGCAAGGGTTAAAGAACTTCTGAGTTTTTTCATTTCATTTTTCTTAGACCAAGTAAAATTTACTGCATGCTAATGTTTCTTACGATTAAGATAAAGCATAGCTGAGATAATTGAATTCTAAAATGCTACGAAATGTTTATGTAAGGGAAAAAATGGGTGAAGCTGCTCTAACAAAAATTTTGACAACCTGGGTTTTAAGACATGAATTTGTTCGGAGAATAGTGAAGCACATCAGTTAATGGACTATTCCAGTATTGCACTTAACTCAAAAAAATCCAAGGGATTTGAAACCCAACCCCATCAAATTTTGGTCCCGATATCATTACCCATTGTTTCTTCTTATGTTAGTAGGTTTTGAAAATTTTCAAAATAGAATTAAAA